GTCATTTGACAGTTCCATGGGAACTATAGGTAATGTTGGTCAAATGACAGGGATTTGGGAGTTCTAGTGTTAAACTCCTCCACTTGAGACAGAGCGACCCCCTTGACCCAGAGAAGGCTCTCTGCCCTTTTCCGGCTCAAGACCATGGCCTCGGATTTGGAGGCACTGAGCTTCATCCCGGCTGCTTAAAACAATTAATATCTTATTTGTTTTCCAGTCTTATGGATTCATCTCAGCTTGCAAAGCCCCACTTCAAAAGGTCTAAACTGTTTCTTCAGGATCTCTTCTGATATTTTCCAGTTAACACTTATCTGCAATCGTATTTTCTTAAGTTAACATTTTTTTAACTTCATTAGATTGCTGCTCTGTAAGGGGTGCCATGTGTAAATAAAACATTACATGTCACAAACAAATTTTCATAATTTAGTTTATTTTGTGGGTGTAGAATCCTATTCCACTGACATTTTATTGTTATTCAGCTCTCTGTTCTTACATTTATCTATTTTTTCTAAATGTTCAATTTAAACGTTCAACATTTTATGTATAAAACCTGAATCTAAATTAAAAAATGTAAATCTAAATGTAAAAACTGATCTTCAGTGTTGCAGCTAAATGATAAAGCTTATAAGGAATTTGGAATGGAACACAGCCTTTGCTGTTGTGAGTGGCTTTTGCTATGATGTCATCATCCTGAGACAATCACTAGTTTTTTTTCTAACATTTCATTTAACACTTGGCGCCCCGTACTTCTTGCTTCTACAAACTTGTCCTTATTACGGTGACTCTCGGTTTTCCAAAAGACGCGCTCCGGATCAGACCACCCCCTTCGTATGTAGTGTTTGATCGACTGACAGAAAGTTTGTTGCCTTGATCTTGCTCGTTCATGTTGTTCTCCTTTCTCAAACTTGCACATTTTTTCCATTCCTCTTGTTTCTCTTGGTCCTCTTTGAGGTCTTCCAGCACTTTCTTCAAGCAGCATTCTTCTTTTGTCTCTGAACTGTCGACTGGTGTTCGATCAGAATTTCTGTTTGGATCACCGGCTTCATGTAGAGTTTTAAGAATTTCCTCTGATTTGTCCTCAGATTCTTCTGGAGTTGTTTCTCCACAATCACATGTTGGACTGACCAAAACCTCGTTCTGCATTTGATGTGTTGAGTTTTGGGTTTTGTCATTAACTATTAGACTGTTTTCAATCACTGGCCGATTTGAATCATTGCACTTTTGGTCAGATGGTGTTCCAACACCCCTGGTCGACTCTGATTCAGAAATGAACAACTCCTCTTCCGCTTCTGGTCCTGATGCTTGTTCGTCGTTCTTTGTTATGTCTGAGTCTGAAATGCTGATGTCACATGCAATCTTATAAAAGAGGGAATGGTTCTCCTTCATTTTTTTCAGGCTTTCACTCACTGCAGATGAAAACTCATTGGGATCGGTAAGCTCATCAGAAATGTGTGCCTGCTTGTTGGTGTCAGATATTGGTTCTGAAGCAGGGATCTGTAAAGGCATGAAACCCTGCCACTGGTTTGTGGAAAGGAACCACTGAGCTCTCAGATCTGAAGACTTAAAATGATTGTAATCATCTTCTTCAATCTTCTGCTGTTCATCTGGACTGAGGTCTATAAATCTTTTGCCTCCATCTTTTTGGTGGAAGACCACAGATGAGATGTGATAGGGAGAGGCTGGGCGTTTGATTTTACTGTTGGCAACCCCTGATTTTCCACTCTGCTGTGCTCTGTTCTCAAGCTTGACCTGAATTTTTGATTTGCTAACATGTTGATTCTCTTCATCACGATCCTGAGATGTTGCTCTAGAAAGCTGCAGCTCTGCAGAACCACTCATGTYAGCCAGACAGCTTTCATTGCCTGTGGATGGGAAATTATTTCTCCGTTACTGAACACTCTCCTATTTGTTTATCTTTGGTAAACTTTGTGATGGTACCTGCTTTCATCCTTGATTTCTTAGCCATGCTGTTGGGCACCTGATGAACCTCCTTCTTCCTTGCCCTGACCGGATGTTGATTGTCTGTAGTTACACTCTCTCTGACTGCGCTGAGAGATACACAACAGCAGATTTTGTGGTCACTATCTTCTGCTTAAAGCCAATAACAGTAGTCGACACACAGAAAACACAAAAATCCCACCTGCGCATGACTCGTTCTCGTATTCGTTCGACTCGTCTGAGCTTGGCATCTCGCTGCTCAGGGCTCAGACTGAGGTCAGGGTTCAAGTCTGGAGTAGGAGGTGCAGAAGACGTGTCCTCTGCCTGTTCAAATAGTTTACATTTAACTGAACATGCCATAATAATATGACATGCAGAACTAATGCTGTTAATTACTCTGAACAGTACAATGAAATGGAAGTATTTCTGGGCATTTTCGTAGCTTACATGCAAGTTAAAATATTGTTTGACAAGCTTTGTTTTGACTGATTACAGCAGAATTTATTAAAAATTCAGAATCTGAGCTAATGCTATATTACAGAACAGTACTTTGTATTTGTGGACAACTGCTCACCTGGAAACAATAAATATGTGAATTTCTGTCATTTGAATATTCATTTACAGCATATATTACCTAATTTCCCTCTGGAATCAATAAAGTATTTTTGAATTGAATTGAATTGAATGAAAAAAATACCTTTGTCGGGGTAAGTGAAATAATTTTGTGGCAAATCATCATTTTCTGGAAATTATCCAAATTAAATCCTTCATTACAAATATTTTTTTCTTACCCTGACATCCAAGCTTTCACTTCCTCCTGATCTGGGTGGGTCTTGAACTAAACTGCTTGAAGCCTCAGTTCCATCAGCTCTGCTCCCCTCTGGCAGTGACTCCATCCTGAAGGGCCTGGGTTTTCCCTGATGTTGTTGCCTGCTTGTCTTTTTAACAGGCTGGTCCTGGTGCAGCTCAACAAAGGACTGGCCCGAGTCTTGGYTCTCCGAAAGCAACCGCCTTGGTTTGTTGGCCAGTTCAGTCGGTCGTTGCTGGGTCTCAGGTGGGATCTGTTCGGGTAGCGGGGCGTCGAGTTCAGGTGGCGGGTCCTCGACAGAAACTTTTCTAGCCACGAGCGAGGATGGGAGGACAGCTGTTACGACTCGTGTCACCCTTAAGGGAAACGGGGCCTAAKAAATTACACAGATGGATGAATAATGCATGTGAAAAGAACAACGGCGATTCAGTCAGTTATAAACATTACTGATGCTCCAAACCTCCTCTCTTGTTTCTGAACTTTGATTCAGAGGTCCCTGAGCAGCTACTGAAGGTTTCTTCCTATGAGTCATCCTCTCCTGATTTCTCTTCATCCTCTCAATCTGCTCCTCTTCAGTCATCTTTGTTTTCATCTTCTAGAGAAAATATAAGCTGTTGATATGATGTATGAACACTGTACCTCAGAAACATGCATGCGTCATGTAAGACTGGACTCAAAACTAACTTTCAGATTAAGAATCTTGAATCGAAATTACAGGGCTGCTAAGTCTGCATGGATGCATGGACATGCTATGTATGTATRTGCACATTGTGGGTTGAGGTGTGAAAAACCAGCACTCAAAATTAAGCCTCTACTCCCCCCTCTTGACTACAGCAGGTGTTGCAACTTGCCCTAATTGCAAAGAAAATGAGCAAATCAAAGAAATGTAATTTGGCCGTGATTGCAGGGACAAAAAAAAAAAAAAACCACTCCATCTTTGTGTGCATCTATATTTAGAGTGTTTTAGCTCACACTGCAAGCCAGCAGGAAATGATGRCAAATCAAACCTTTGTTGATTGGTTGCTTGGGTCTGGTGGGATCCACTTTGAACCAGACTGAGAGTCTGAGGAATGAAGGGGAAGGAAAAAAAAGACAAAAAGTGGTGAGAAGACAGATTTATAATTATACATTATAATAATTTAACAACTCTGTTACAAATAGATATCATTTTTATATTTTCTGATTGTGTTGAGTTTGAGCCAACCTGGATCTCTCTGTGTCTTCACGTTAAGGAGGTCAGGCTGAGCGGTTCCTCTTCTGTCTACGGGATCCTCAGCCTGGCAGTAGATTCCCTGAAACATCAAGAGAAAACAACATGACTGTCAAACTTTGGCTACATTTGTCATTCAGTTGATAAGGTTGAAAATTMCCACCTCATATGGAGACTCTGACCAGCTTGGATCCCGACTTAGATGGTTCTCCTGGAGCTCCATGGGTAAAGGTGGGCGGACTGGGGGCTCTTGTTCTATATCCTGCAGAGATTGTAGCCAYAAGGATATCAGGCATTCAAAACTTATTGATGCCTATAGAAACAACTGTATGGCTTTGATTGAATAAAAGCTATGTAATTATCCTAAAGCACAGAGAACACATGACTACTGATACAGGGAGAAAGGCAAACAGTTGTACCATCGGCAGTCCACTCTGGAGCCTTTCTGTGACAGAGCTGGGGAATCCAGGGTGTGGAACTGAAGACTGGAACACTGAGGAGACATAAAATGTAGCAGGTTCAGCACTGTTACTTGATGTGGATTTTTGTTTTTTTGTGCATAACAGGAAAAATCCAAAATATTAACACATCAGTGGTTCAGAGTGGAAGCATTTAACAAAAGTTTCGATCATCAAAAACATTAAAGTTATTTTTAGGCAGTGCTTTAATTTTTCATTTATGTGTGTTTGCAATGTGTTTAAACTCAGACTGTTCTACAGCAACATTATGACCACCTTTTTGATGTTATAACATTTTTTAACAGGGTTATTGCTAAGTTGGTTATATTGTATGAAGAAAACTCTGATTTTTCACTTAAATATATAAGCTACTAAATGAATAATGGCACAATAACTGAAAAAAACATTCTCCTAAAGTTCGGAACTGCGCTAAAAATGAGATAAAAACAAAAACAAAACCAAGTCTAAAGTAAAACTTGAAAGCCTGAAGAAAGTCTGATAAGGAAGATTACAAAGGCTTGAATTCACAGTCTGATTCCTTAAAGACAAATAAAGTAATTTTTACACAGTATTGAAACACTATTTAATTTTTTAGCCCTAACTCTCCAAGTCCAAAACTTTTTGTTATGGATAATGAACAAATCCCTGCGTCACCTCACTGCTTCTGCTACAGTGGATGTGTAAATAATCACACAAGAGGCAAARCTGCAAAGATAAAGGTGCCACAACTGCAGCCATCCTGCTTTTTTGGGGGTGTTTTGCTTGTAAGTGGTGTTTACAAATCACTTTGAAATGTACCCCACAGTAAGCAATAAGAGAAAGCAGATGTGTTTATTTAGCAGTATTTACTGTGATGTCTCTGTAGTCCCAGCAGGAAACAGAAATTATCTCTGTTGAGCTTCAGTCCAGCAAGGATGTCCTCCATCATCCACAGCTCTCTCTGAGCCTGAGACTGCTCCTGATCAGGGAGGAAGAGAAGAGGCCTGCGACTTAGAGGTTAACACTATGAATATTTAATGAGACACCCAACAAATTCCTTTCTCTCTAAACCGCTGATGATGGCACATATAAATATATATAT